GGGAGCGCTGGGTGTAGAGGGAGCGTGGGGGGAAGGGGGAGCGCCAGGCGCAGGGGGAGAGCCAGGGGTAGGCCGAGGCCGAGACCCAGTGACCGAGGACGACTTTATGGCGTACTTCGGACGCTGCTTCGTCCTCTTCTTCTCCAACTTCGGGTGAGTGCACCCTCCAGACGCCCACCGTCGGCGGGGTAGGCAACCGCCTCGCGTCCGTGCGTTCGAGTTGCCTACCTCACAGGCGCCCCTCCCCGCAGGTACGACGAGCTGATCCGCTCGGCGGGCCGCCACTTCTGCGACTTCCTGGGCGGCATGGACAACATCCACAGCCAGATCCGCTTCTCGTACCCGAGGATGAAGAGCCCGTCCATGTTCGTGGCGGCCGTGGACGAGCGCGGCGCCGTGCTCGTGTACCGCAGCAAGCGGACGGGCTTCCTGCCGTACTTCATCGGCCAGCTGCAGCAGGTGGCCGAGACCTTCTACGACACGGAGCTGGTCGTCGACACGCTGTCCGTGGCAGAGTGGGCCGACGGAGACGCCGACCACCGCACCGAGGCCCGCCTGCGCCTGGACTTCGACAACCGGGCCTACATGGAGGCACGCGAGCGGCTGGCGACGCGGCGGGAGCGCGCCGACCTGCACCTGCCCGCCGTGCACGCCGGCCTGCTCATGTCGCTGTTCCCCTTCGGCGCGCTGCTCGAGGCCGACGGGCAGGTGCGAGGGCTGGTGGCCGAGACCGCGCCAGGACTACTGCCTCCGAACACACGCGTGACACTCACCACCTGTTCTGCGCAGGACCCCAAGGCGCCGCTTGTCCTCCGGCAGGCCGGCGAGAAGCTCCTGGACGTCCTGGGCGACAGCAGGCCGGTCATCGACGTGCACGCCGGGGAGTTCATGAGGATCCGCCGACCGCAGGGGGCGCTCTTCACCATGGACAGCGTAAGTCGAACGGCGACCAAAACCGACCAAAAATCATGATTTATGAAAAAGAATTCCATTTCTTGTTTTCGTTGAGACGACAGCACTGACCACTGACCTCAACAGTTTCGTGCTAATTGTGTTGTGTTACGTCAACCCCTGATGCCGCCGTGCGCTGTTTCCAGATCAAGGAGCTGCAGTCGGTGATGTTCGAGGTGCAGGTGCTCAACGCCGCCAACCTGGCCGCGGAGGACGGCGGCGGCGCCGCGGGTCCGAGCCAGGGCGCGGCACCGTGCATCCTGCTCAAGGGGCAGATGCTCTACCTGCAGGAGGCCGACGCCATTGTCTTCCTGTGCTCGCCGCTGTAAGTAAGATTAGTTAATATGTAGTTTTTTGTCAAAGTAACAGAAAAAAATAACTTGCAAAACAAAATTGAAAATCAGTAAATTAAAAATAAAATAAAATGGGAAGAATTAAAAAAATGAAAAAGAGGCGTAAAAGAGAAACATGAACCTCCCGCCCGCAGGGTGAGCGACCTGACGGAGCTGGCGTCGCTGGGCCTGTACCTCAACGACCTGAACCTGCACGGCCTGAGCCGCGAGATGGTGATGGAGGGCTGGCACCAGTGCGCGCGCCTGGAGCTCATGTGCGAGCGCGCCGAGGAGCACTCCCGCCGGCTCGAGGACAGCCTGCGCCTCCAGGACGAGTGGCGCGCGCGCGGCGACGCGCTGCTCACCTCCATGATCCCCAGGTCTGTGGCGGACCGCCTGCTCGCCGGCCAGAGCGCGCTCGACACCTGCCAGGTGGGGGGAAGCGACTTCGATGCAGTTGTCGTCGTCGGCATAAGGTCCTCGTCGTCATGCAGCACAGTGTCTTTCCCCCAAAGGCCTTCGACGCCGTCACGGTGCTTTTCTGCGAGCTGCTGCTCGACGGCGGCCCGGGAAGTGCGGAGGCGGTCGCCGAGCGCGTCCGCACCGTCAACCAGGCTTTCTCGCAGTTCGACCAGCTGCTGGACGAGCACCACGTCTACAAGGTGGAGACGGTCGGCATGGTGTACATGGTGGTGAGCGGGGCGCCCGACCCGCACCGCGAGCACGCCGCCAGCGCCTGCCGCGCGGCACTGGACCTGCAGCGCTGCGCCCGCCGCCTCGGCCAGGCCGTGCGCTTAGGTGAGCAGGCTCGGCAATTTTTAATTTTCCAGAAAAACGTTGAAAAAAAATTGTTCGCAGTTCTATGTGTTTTTTCCTGGGTAGGTGAAAATCAATCAAATTCTCCTGGAAACATTTTTAAATATCTATTTTTTCTGGAAATTTACGATTCCCCCCTCGCAAAAAAAAATCCAGAATTTTGAGTGCTTCCCGGCCCCCTACCTCTATGGAGCACTGCGCCCGGGGTAGCGCCGCCGCGGCGCGGCACAGAGGGTCTCCGCCGCGCTACCCCGCGCACACGCCGCGCTATACCCCGCGTCTCTGTCCGCAGGCCTGCACTCCGGGCCCGTCGTTGGCGGGGTGGTGGGCCTCAAGGTGCCGCGCTACTGCCTGTTCGGCGACACCGTCAACACCGCCTCCAGGATGCAGGCCAGCAGCATTGTGAGTAGTTGTACACTGTTCAAGCCCTAAAAAGCAATCTCAGAACTGCGAAGTATTTAGATCCCTTTGAAACTACGAAGCATTTGAATTGTTGCAAAGTTAGTACTTCGTAATTGCAAAGGATGAAATACTTCTCAGTTATACATAGCATCGCTCTGCAGAAGTGTACACAGCAAGAAACTTCGCTGTAATTTAAAACAATTAAAAAGTAATTAGTGTATAAAAAACGCATCGTAGGTCGAAAACACGGAAGCGGCTCCCTCTGCTGCACATCCCTACCCAAACCGTACAATTGGCATGGGGTGCTGCAAGAAAAAAAAGTAATCACCTTTCTCTTTAATTACTCCCATATTTTGCAGTCAGGCAGCGTGCAGCTATCTGCCGCCACAGAGCTCCTACTAAAGAGCCACAGCGAGTTCAGGACGCTACCTAGGGGACAAGTCTGGGTCAAAGTAAGTCGCGCAGATTTTCAATTGCCGTCTTGCTTTACCTTTCGTATCCCAGTTTTCTTAATCTCCAGCGCTGTAAACATTAATTACAACAATGTATCTAAGATGTTTACTTTTTGAAATGACGATGGTTGCTCAGTGTGCACCTGTCTTTGCAGGGAAAGGGCTTCATGAACACCTTTTGGCTACTGCACGGCGAGGAGGGAGCTGAACTTGAAGCTGACGACTACGCAGGAGCATAGAACGTGCACAAAATCGCGCGCACATTATTCTTTTAACGCATTTTTCACAACTTAACTAGAAATATATTCTTGTTTCATATATTCAAATAATAATCTTCATTATTGTAAATAGATACTTTACCCTCGTAGTCTCTCCCATGATTGTAATTGATATTACATGCTTCGTTCAAAAATGTCGACAATTGTACGGTATAGCCTCTATGTAATCTAAAAGACATTATATTAAGTAGCCACAGCCTGTCGGAACACTAATACATCACGTTTTAAGCACGGTAGTTGTGCACGTGGAAGTGTTCAATTAGATAGTTGGCATAAGCACAGTAGATGCAGAAAATTTTCAAACTAACCAGAATCTGTGGTCCAAACACCGAGCTCGCGAAGCAGGCGTAGATATATCAATAAAAGCTTTGTATTTGCTATATCTAAGGTAATCTCTTTTTAAGCTTAAGGTAGGCACCGGTGGAACGGCCATCACCCAAAAGGAGTTATTGGAAGACAAAAAAATCTAAAAACATCTAATATCATTCGTTTAACCAGCAATATATTAATAAACAATGAAAAGCTATATTATTGAGGGACTATATGTTCAATACCACAAGTTTTCCACTTAAGTTGCATAAACTGCAGTCCACTAAAAAAATAATCTTATTCTCTCACACAGTTTAACATTATATGGCCATTTTTCACGGGTGTCGTACCTTAATCTGCAGCTAGCAGTGTAACGGAAATTTGGAGATTTGAGTTTGCCATAGGCAGCTAGCTAATTCATAGGTATATTGAGGTTTTTATACTATAATTCTTGGAAGTATTGTAATCTCAAATATTATTAGCATGATCTTTTTTTTTGTAGTTTTCTCACAGTTGTAATCAACAAAACTAATAACTTATTCCGTCAAAATATGCGAGCACTTGTATACTGTAGCCACTATGTCATGAAATTGCAAGGGGGAAATAGGACTTCATAATCGTTTTATCGTCCACCAGGAATTCCGGTAAACTTCAAAGTTTAAATCTTTCCAGATCAATTCACTCCGTAACAAAGGTACTGCAACAAGTTTTAGTGTTTACATTTCCGAGAGCCTATTTCTCCTTTATATAATCCACACGTAATGACACATAATATATTAATGTAGCTCCAGTACTAATATTGTGTAGTTCCGTAGATGGTTGCCGAGCGGCAGCCCGATATGTTATGCTTGCAAATTGTCCTTCGATAAACGACTGCACCGACCTGATTATCTATCATTGAGCGCTCGGGCCAAACCCCAACGCACTTTTGTTCCAGCGCCGGAATATAATGGACACTAGAAATGCGAGCGCGGCTGCGGAAGGAGCAAACGGTCCCGTCGCACACCTTTGGCGCGACAAAAAAAAAACGGTGGGTAGGGAATTTAGAGAGAGAGTGGTCGAGAGAGAGGGGGGAGAGGAGAGAGGGAGAGAAATGGGGAGAGAGAGGGGGAGAGGGAGAGGGTGAGAGAGAGAGTGAGAGAGAATGATAGAGGGAGAGAGAGAGGGGAGAGAGTGAGGAGAGAGAGAGACCGAAAGAGGAGAAAAGAGGAGAAAGAGAGGAGAGTGAGGAGAGAGAGAGACCGAAAGAGGAGAAAAGAGGAGA